GTTGTGATTACGGAAACTTGGCTAACAGACGGTTTTCACAATCAAGAGTTGTTTGATTCACGTTATAATGTATATCGGAACGACAGAAGCAATGGGATGACTAGAGGAGGCGGTGTTCTGATGGCAGTCAAGAAGAAATTTGTCACAGAAAAAATTAATTTAAACATAGATTGTGATATTGAGTGCTTACTGATTAAATTGAGGATTAGGAAAAAAATATTTTATGTGGTGTATAATATTCCTCCAAACAGAAGTATAGATAAATATGAGCAATTTCTGCTCTGGGACTCTGTGCTCTATAGAATTCTACAGCTCACTTTCTATAGCAGATATCTATTTTCAAAAGCGATAGTCGGCTGAAACGGCACTCTGTGTCACTATCGACAACAGTTCGGCTACGTTCTCGTATCCTTTTATCATGCTACTAGCCATTCGAAAAACGTAGTACAAATCTAGGGGAAACTCTAGGGAATTTTTATTTGATTCCTAAGAAATGTCAATATTATTTATTGAATTGACTGTATACGTCATAATAAGTTATAATATTTATGTGGCTACAAACTATATCAAGAGCAGAGCAAAAGAGAAAGTATCAGTAGCCATCAGGGTTCAGTTCAAGACGAGAAAAATCTAATTGAAGCGGGATTTATGGAAAAAATCAATTTTCCAGGTGTGATTACTATCACACGGCCGATGGAACCCACAGTGAGTGAAATTATTATTAGACCACATGACGAAGAACCCTGGCTAATGACACATAGGGAAAACACTGCTCCAGGAACTCCAAATTATAGCCAAAATTACATCCAAACTCGAAATTGTATGGGTGTGTTTGAACAAAGATTTGTGTGTACTTCAAAAGTGTTGAGGCATGCCCCAGAAAAAGTTAGGCGCTTTGTCGTTTGGTTTGTGCTATTTTACATAATTGCTCGGAAGGGAGACTGAATGGTCCCCGAACCTCATATCTGAAGGGATAACATTCAGGTACCGGAGGTACCATATAATGTAAAGTTATGCAAGCAGGAGTCCAAGCAAGAAACAATTTGATTTGTCATCATTTTATGCACTGACTTTCTAAAATGTTATTATAAAGATTTTAACCATAATATGTGTTTTATTCCGGGTTTTTCGCTTCTCACTCTCTCAATGACGATAATATCAATATTATTAATATAATCGGAAACCGGCGTCTGCTCGAAATAAACTAAATAGGAATGGAATAACGTAGGTATAAATATGAAATATCAACAACAACAATTTCGCAATTGTCAGTGTCATTCATGAAACTTCACCATGCACATGCGTCAGTAGTATTCGACACGTCTCGAGATGTAGAAATGAAATTATAAAATAAATCGCGTTTTGTCGATATTCTTGATGCACAGAGTGCCAACCATGTAGAATCTTGTCGACTGATAGAATTCTACATGACACAGAGTCCCGCTCCTGAATGTCTTTGATTCAATTTTAAATAATAATAATGATGTTTTAATTTTAGGAGATTTTAATATTCCATTTTATCAATGTGACTTGCAAAACTGTGATAAAAATATTCTAGTCAATAACTTTATGAAATTTTATAATCTTGAACAAAGTAATAGCATTCTAAACCACCTGCATAGAAGATTGGACCTGGTATTGTGTAATTATATATTAGAGGTGAGGAGGTGTGAATGTCCTTTAGTTCCAGAGGATTCCTACCATCCATCGCTGATTGTTTTGGTTCCTTTGGACATTACTGATTCTGTAAATGAAGCAGTTTTTAAACCATCATACATGTATGACTATTCAAAAGGTAATTTCTTACTTTTATACAATCTCCTAAAAAATATTGATTGGTCATTTTTGAAACAATTTAAGGATGTTAACCAATGCTTACAAATGTTCTATGATAAAGTTTATATGTGCATTGATCAAGCAGTTCCAAAAAAAAAGCAAAGTACAAATTTTAAAAAGAAAAAATATCCACCTTTTTTTAGTATGAAACTTATAAAAAAAATTAAACACAAAAATAGATTGCACAAAAGGGTACTAAGTGGTAAGGCCAGTTCATTGGTTATAGCCGAGTATAAAAATTTGAGAGGCATTATCAAAAGCCAAACAAGACACGAATTTAAATTATATAACAATCATATAGAAAACAACATTAATACAGACCCTAATTCATTCTGGTCTTTTATAAATTCTAAAAAAAGTTGTAATGGTATTCCAACCGAAGTAAGTTACGAGGGCAAAGCATTTAGTGATCCTCAAACGGTAGCAGACGCTTTTGCGCAGTACTTTGGCTCAGTATTTCAACATTCTTCAAGCCCTAATTACTCGGGTGGAAATTTTTGTTTTTCACTTGTAAATAAAGAAAAAATTATGACTAGTATTGGGAAACTTAAACCAAAGAAAGCTACTGGTAATGATTGCATACCAGCTTACATATACAAGGGTTGTGCGGATATTATGTCTGTGCCCCTGGAAATTATTTTTAACATGGCTATTAAATCTAATCAGTTTCCTGACCAATTAAAGTGTGCTAGTATCACTCCAATTTATAAAGGGAAGGGGGATAAAAATTCTGTTGAAAATTATAGACCCATAAGTGTATTAAATTCTATTGCAAAAATATTTGAAAACATACTTTACAATGATATACTTGAAACATTTGAAAATTATTTTGCTAAGGAGCAGCATGGCTTTTTGCCTGACAGGTCCACAGTAACCAACCTCACTGTTTTAACAGATACAGCTGCTCAAGCAATTCTTAATAAAAACCAATTGGATGTGATAATGACGGACTGCGCGAAGGCGTTTGATAAGGTGGATCATGGACTTCTGGTCAACAAATTGAATGCATTTGGTTTCTCTGAGAGTGCCTGTAAACTTATATGTTCTCTTACCTATTATATAGAAACCAACAAGTGAAAGTTGGAAAAAATCTCTCAAGGAGTTTTATGGCTTCATCAGGCGTTCCTCAGGGAAGTAACCTGGGACCTCTTTTGTTTGCCATCTTTATAAACGATTTGCCAGATTGTATTAATTTCTCTGATAGTCTGTTGTTTGCAGATGACTTCAAAATGTTTAAAATAATTAAGAGTACTGAAGACTGTGTGGCTTTACAAGAAGACCTAAATTGTGTTTCAAAGTGGTTTAGCGAAAACAAGATGTTCCTAAATGTAAGTAAATGTCACGTTATAACTTTTACCAGAAGGATTAATCATATAAATTTTAATTATAACATAAATAATTTAAGTCTTGACAGAAAGTTTGAATGTAAAGACCTTGGAGTACATCTGCAATCAACGCTTAAGTTTAACACTCACTATCAGACTATTGTGAGTAAGGCATTTAAGGTTCTGGGCTTTATTATTAGAAACTCTAAATATTTCCAATTAAAAACTGTCATTAGACTATACAATGCGCTGGTCAGACCGCACGAGTATGCTTGTGTAATATGGGCACCGCAGGCAGAAGTTAACTGTGATATGATTGAAAAAGTCCAGAAAAGATTTTTAAGATATTTATTTATTAGGACACATAATGTATATCCTTATATAATCTCTTATAGTTCAATGCTAAGTGAATTTAATATTAAAAAATTGGGTACCAGGAGAAGTATGCAGTGTGTTATCTTTGTATGTCATATTTTAAATGGCGTCAAGTACAGGCACAAATATTTAATTAATAGAATTGCATTCCATGTTCCTAAAATTGTGCTTACAAATATTGAACAAAAGATATTTCAGGATAATGTATTGAGCTGTTCGCCTCTAAACAATATGCTTCGCGAATGTAACAGATTGGTGAGGGAATGTGATATTGATTTATTTAATACAAATACCTTTGCCATAAGATCTTTTTTTTAATACCAAAGTTTTACTAGTTTTTTTTTAAATAAATCTCTGTGATTGTTATTTTATATTTTTTATTTTTTATATTTTATATTTGATGTGTAACTTAGTATAAGTCTAACTTTTTGTGTTTCTTTGTAATTTAGCCATAGTGGATGTTAGGGTATCAGTAAGCACTCTTGTATTGTAAGTACCTGTTAAAGGTGTATGTAGGAGTATAAATAAATAAATAAAAAAATAAAAAATGATAGCTTATGAAAATCTAAGACAGGAATGTGAAATCGGAAAGTTACCACCTGTCCAGCTTTTCTGCGACCACCCTGTATAATAATTTTATTTTCTAGAAAATGCTAGACAAAAAATAAAATTGACATGTTCGAGGATTTTTAAAAAAATTGCTTAGAAAATTAATTATTGAATTTGTTCCTTACTTTACGGCCGCACTGTATATTTTGTCAACTCGCGTTTACATGTACAAAAATAAAAATTAATCATAGCTCATAAACTGAGTAATAAACATAATGCATGTACTTAATAAAACGAATAAAAACGTAGCTATACAAAAGAGCCAAAAGACATTGAGTCTTAAGTTTCTACAAAACTGTGTGTCAAAACTTATACCATTAAACGTGGCACATGCAGGCATTCTCATGCCTAGGTGCCACAATTATTATCAATCACTTGTTCCCTCTGATAAGTTGCAGCTCCAATGTATGCCTATTGCTCGGGGTATTGGGACTTGGGAGCCAAAACATTGTTATTGGACACAACTTTAAAACCCTTAGCATAGTTTAATTTTTTTTGTAATATCAGGTATAGACTTAGTAGACAAGTTATACCATTTGGAGTTTGCTCTGTTATGTATTGTAGTAAATAAATAAATAAATATAAATATCACGTTGTTTTTTCAGCGATAAAGCACACTTTGAATACTTTAATTCCAAGTGTTTTGGAATGATTTACTAATGATACATTTAAAAATTGGGTTTTCAAAAAGTATACAGATGTTATTAGAATGACCAACAATGTAATTTAAATGATATGTTTTTGAAAAATTTGAAGTGGCCTATTATTGTACCTACCTACACCCAAGCTACCTATTTCCTAACAAATAGATTTTACCACTACTTTATACGAGTAAAGTAATTAAGCAAGCTTTACCTTGTTTCAATGTCAACATTGCTTTCAAAAAATTCAAAAGGATGTGCTGCAAGTGGCTGATATACAATGGAGGTGCTCAGTAATCTTTTGGCTGCAGGAACAAACTTGTGTTGTGACAAAGTAATTTTGGCAAATAGCTCATCATCTTCGCCACGATATTGAACCAAATTCTTCCCTTTCACTATTTCAATCATTAATACAGCATCCACGATGCCTTCCCTGTTTCCACCACGAATGTCGGCTATTAGGGCATCATTGAGCTTTGTCTAAAGTTTCAAATATTGTTTATACAAATAAATAAGAGTACATTATAGTTTCATACATACTTTAAATGAAGCCAAATCATCATTTTTAAATGTATTTGGTAAATTAACGTAAAAATATGGCGAAAAACCGTGAACATGACAACAAACACTATTTCCTTCCTTTGTAATCCCAAACATACGAATAATAGGTACCTAAAATGTTTTTTTTCTTAGTCGATATACAGATACAGAAATTGTTAACATTAACCTGTCCTGATTGGGGCCCAGGCATCCCAGGGTAAACATTTCCGACATAATGATCTAACTCTAGCTCTTGGAATACAAGGGTGTCTTTGCTGTTGTCTCTATTTACCAGAGGAGGCCTTTGGATTGCATTGTTTGGTCTAAAATATGGTTTAAGGTTAATAAACATGCATTTAGCAATCTAGGTTATGCATTGAAATATTGAAACACACTTGAACTTTTTGAAGAACGGCTTGTGATCATCAGATTTTCTTTTATTCATTTTAGATATTAGGGAAATAGTCTGAAATCTGAAAACAGCAAACAGCGGTATGAAAAATACCGCCAAGGCGCCAAATATCTGACTACTGACAAAAGTGACGTATCAAAAAAGGGAGCGTTCGAAAAAACTTGTTTGGTGTCGAAACCCCAAATCAGGTTCAAGAATCGGGGGTGTCCATTATATCAAAAACCGTTTCATAAACGGTTTCGAAACCCTCCGTATATGAAATTCGGATTCTACGCTCACATTTTAAGCTTTGCGCAGAATTGTGACGGTACATTGAACGGTTTCCGCTGTGTTGGACCAAAACTATAGCATTTTCGGCCTAACTGCTCCCAGAGCGCTCCCCGTCTGAGGTGACGTGCTCCAAGAGCGATTATAATCCAAACGAGGCCAACGAGTGCACATCATTTGAAATCAATAGCCGAATGTACTTTTGTTTCGATCAAACTCTTTTCGATCCATCGAATTAGACGGAGTAAGAAAGAGAGCTCTGTGCGAGATTTAGAGCATTCTAAATATTGCTCAAATCAAACACGTGAATCTCGCCGAGAGCAACGCTCTGTTTTAATCCGAACATGTGAATCCGTTTCGGACAGAGGTTTCGGATCACTTTTTGAGCAATCGGGTGCAGCTGCTTAGCCGCTTTCCAGTATGCACATTGGCGCGCTCTAGAGCACCTCGGGGGCGCCACGCGCTAGATTTGTACCGTTCCAGTATCATGGCGTAAGACGCCTGTCTAAGTGTCAAATATGTCAAATTGTAAAAATAATTATCTGTTTGTTGGTGCAGTTTGTTTTTTATTTATCAAAAATTAAAGAAAATCAAAACTATATTTTGGAAATGTTCGAATTCGGAGATATAACACGAAACAAATGAAGAAATAGCCACCCACGGATGTGACAACTGACAGGTCGACGGGTACGTACAGCTCAGGAGCTCAACGCCCCGAGTAGCTCCGGGCGTCACACTCCCATACTGGAAAGCGGCTCACAGAAATGTAAATCATCGACTAGTAGTAGCGAATTCCATTGGCAAAAACAGTGTCGCACTAATGCGGCACTCACACTCGTTCCGGCCAATTTAAAACTTGCTCTGCTGCAACAATCCCAATGGGGTTCACTTTCGACCTTTGAGATTGGTGCCTGTATGCACCATTTTCAGGTATTTTCGTAATTAGCTAATCAGGGCTAATTATGTAATCACGGTTAAAAAAGTCGATTCGATGTACCAAGGGATTTTGCATTTGCCTGGTATGCACCATTACACAAATTCTCTGATTAAACTTTAGCCGTGATCACATAATATTTTTCGTATGCACCAAGCGTTTTTTTCGCCTAATCGGCAATTAACTTAAATCGCTCGATGGCCTGGAATTTAGGATAACCGCGGCTATAATGAAATGAGGTTAGAATGTTTTGTTTTGTTTTTACATTTTAAAAACATTTTTGTCCCCAAAAAATTACTGGAAAAATAGTGTGTGGCGAGGGTGAGCAGGGAGAAATCAAATAAGGAATATGGAGATGGACCACCTATTATTTGACGAGGATTTGGATACTGATAAATAATGATTGTGTTAGATGGGCTTCCAACGCGTTGGAATGAGACGGAAAATTATTTTGAAGCCTTGGATGGATGATCTTATAAACCAATAGTCGTAGATCTTCCTGAAGAGGTGGAAGATGCCCTAACTTAACTTATGATAGGGTGGTAGTATTATATGCAATTTTATGGCTTGATTCCAGTAACTAATGACTATGTAATTACGGTAATTACTGTTTATTTCAAATAAGATGCCCAGGATGCTTTGTTTGTTTGTGTATACTGTATACCTAAAATTTATTCATCGAAAAAAACGCAGATATGGGGTCTCGCCAACCCAAAATTGGCTATTATCAGGGCCAAATACTGGAACTGATCTTCACAGTGGGAACTGATCCACTGCAAAATAAACAGGTCTGGTCCAAGTTCGAGTTCAAGTCCGGACCACTTTTGCGTTGTCTACGTTGTACGGACTCGGAGTCAAACTCGAACTAATCGGATCACGCCGCGCCGGCCAGTGGAACAGGAAAAAGTGTGGACTCGGAGTAGGGACACAGATTCAGAGACGGAGTACATTACACCGACAGACTCGTTTCGATCAACGGCTCCGGATTGTCGGGATCACGCCGCACCGGTGCGGCCGCTGGAACGGATAGAGTACGAGAGTGAATCGCCGATAGGATATAAAGCTGCTTTCCAGTATGTAGCTGTATTCCTTTCAAGAGTTTGAAACACTAGAGCTACTCGCTCCGGTGTGTCAACCCGATTTGAAAGGAACAGATTCGCCGACGTTCGTGCATTTATGGTTTACTTTGGGCTTGAGTACTCAGGTGCAACAAACACTTTTCGGAAGGAATAAGCGCGTAACGCCCCGGAGCCTCTATGCCCGGAGCTGTTCCGGAGCTCCTCATACTATTCACCATTTTCACGTATTTTCGTTATTAGCTAATCACGGATAATTATGTAATCACGGTAAAAATGTCGGTTCGATGCACCAAAGGATTTTGCACTCAAATTAGTTAATTGTGATTTTGTAATGAGGGCCACCTGAAAGGAACTCACCGATAACGTCCCAAATTTCCTATCGATTTTAATAAAAGGCAATAAAAGCCCATTTTGGGTTGGCGGTATGTGGGGTTGGCGAGACCCATTCTGCGTTTTTGTCGATGAATTTTAATTTTATAAACAAACAAAACATCCAGGGCATGTAGGGCATTTTATTTGAAATAAACAGTAATTACATAGTCATTACCTAGTTATTGGAATCAAGAATCAAGTCATAAATTTGCATAGAATGTAGGTACTACACCCTATAATAATGATAGGGCATCTTCTACCTCTTCAAGAAGATCCATGATCTACAACATTGGCTTATAGATCAGATCATCCAAGGCTTCAAAATAATTTTCCCTCTCATTCCAACGCCTTGGAAACAGAAACCCATCTAACACAATTTCATTATCCAAATTAATTAATTAATCATTGTCAAATAATGTCTCTCCACCTCCATATTCCTGATTTCAGTTCTTTTTTTCCTGGCTCACTTCACACAAATTTGTTCCAGTTTTTTTTTACAAAAATGTTTGTAAAATGTAAATATGAAATTTGAAATCGGAACCAAAACAAACAAAACACCTAACCTCATTTTATTAACTAGCCGCGGTTATCTTGTTCTAAATTCCAGGCCATCGAGCAATTTAAAGTTAATTGCCAATAGGCGAAAAAAACGCTTGGTGCATATGAAAAATATTTTGTGATCACGGCTAAAGTCTTAATCAGAGAATTTGTGCAATGGTGCATACGGGCATGGATCTGTTAACCATAATTTAAAAATAACTAGGTAGCTAATGACCCGCTGCGTTGCAGCGTGAAAATACATTTTGAAATAATACACTTTTTTTCAAATTTTGTTGTTGATTTTCTATTTATTTATTTTTTTTAAATCCGATACCACAGTCGCTTGCCAGTGAGTTCAGTGACGCATTTTCAGCACTCCAGAGCTGTTCTAGAGCGCCCCGGGCTCAGTGCACCCTCATCAACAAAAAAATAATCTAGATCAGAAGAAGTTCACTTAAATTGAACCCAAATCGATCTAATCTGAGTCAATCGAATTTAGCTTATATAGTCGAGATACGTGGTATTAAATTCAAGATCGGTCCAGCCGTTCAATAGCTGTTCTCGAATTCAAAAAATAATAAAGTTACGTCGGTTGAATGGCAAGCCTAAATAAATGAAATATGGCAACGTTGTTTCATGCTGTCAAAAAAAAGTTGGGTTTTGTTGTTATGTAATGTGAATGAGTTTGTTTACAATTAAATTAATAATTAATTCAAAATTAATTTCTTTTTCCGAGATGCGTAACCTATCCACAAACCTTCCTTGGGATGGCCATAACAACCTACCAAAGTTTCATCGTAATCGGATAAGTGGTGTAGGAGCGTATAGCCGGATACCCAGCAAACATTGATTTTATATACAGGGTGAGTTACTAAGCGCGCGGTGGTCCATATCTCCTATACTAACAGAAATCGAAAAAAAAGTAAATACAAAACTTGTAGATAAACATGAGTACTACATTCCTAAATTATTTTCCAGTATACAGGGTGGCCCAAGGTTATGTTTTTTAAACGACTAGCCCTGTATATTCCAGACATATTTCATGTACAATGTCATATACCTTACTTAAAGCCTAGTACTCATAACTGCGAAATTCGCATTTTTTTGACTTTGCTTCGAAAAGTTGACGTTTGATACACGCATTAAACGTCAAATTGTCAAAGCAGTAAAAAAAGTGTGAAATTCGCAGTTATGAGTACTAGGCTTTATTCTGTTGGTATTTGTAAACGGTTTACAATCCGTTTTGATTCTAGTGAACGTAGCCATTGCTTCGACAATTTGACGTTTGATTCACGCATAACACGTCAAACTGTGGAAGCAATGTCAAAAAAGACCGAACTTCCCGGTTATGAGTACTAGGCTTTAAGCAGAGGAAAATACCCTTCTTTACCTATGGTGTATTTTTTCCCAAGATGGATTTTGACATTGAAAACTTTGAAACATAAACAATACCGCTTATCCCTGATTGGTCGCAAAATGAGGTGTCCCTACAGGTTGACATCAGTTTTACAATGCATGTCGTGCAAATGGCATCTTGCAAAGCAACGTATAGTTAGCAGACAGTTGAGAAGGATATTTAAATAACACTACTTAATCGTTTGGAAATCATTTGGAAATATTTGGAAACCTATTTTCCTTCGGAAACCTATATGGTTTGGAAACCAACCGTTTTTTATTTATCATCAAATAATTATTGTTTTTAGTTGGTTGTTGGTTCATGCGTATCTCTATAACCGAATTTCCGTGACGAACTACTTCCATGATTTCATGAACGCAAATGCATTCGCGAGAAACTCATGACGTCATATTGAACGATTGAACGTAGTTCGCCGGAAGCATGGACGCAGCTTCTAGCCAGCGCGTTCAGACTCATGACGTCACAAGACGAACTCGCTGCTGTAGTGACGTCACCTGGC